TAGTGTTTGGTTTAATGGTTAACTTGATAAAATCTTGAGCTTGTACTTTGGCTGGTATCTATGTCCAGAAATAAACAAAGTTCACTTCTATATCAAATATTCATTTTACTTCTTTCCTTGATAAGTAGCTAAGCTTTTGAATGATCTTAGATAGAGTGAAAAGAAAACACTTTGACTTTATTATGGAGAAAAATCAACACGGACTTGTTAATTGGAAGTCTAGTTTCCTTGATAAAACATAATATTTAACTCTAGTTAAGTTAGTTATTATGACAGTTCCAACATACTACCTACAATTGTATTGGCTACCTCAATCTATTTATCACTCAATTGATAAGTGTGCATGCAATTTCCTTTGGAAGAATATTAATATAAACGTAATTAACCTACTAAATTGAAATACAATCACTTATAGAACCTAAGATGGTGAACTTGATTTGAGAACAACTAAAGAAGCTAATGTAACTTTATTAAGTAAAAGAGTTTTTGAATATAATGTACAAAAAAGACAAATTCTATGTCCAACTGCTTGTAGAAAAATATGTAAAAGGAGATAATTTGTTAGATCATAATAAAGTTAGAGGGTCTTACTCTTGGAAATCAATCAAAAAGGCTAAAATATTATGTAGGATGAGTTTACTTTTCAACTTAGTTGGGCAAGTTTCCTTGTGGTATCATGACTAGTCGAGATTGGACAAATTACATGACTACACTTTCTATGTCAACACTCAAGATATAAAGTTGCAGATTAAGGACATTTGGACCCAAGAATGGTGAATTTTTTTTCTCAAATTACCACTTTGATACCAACATCAATTATTTTAGCTATTCATCAATCTAACTTGTCAATTAGTAGTCATGTTGATGACAAGTTTATTTGGTCAAGCAGTTTGGAGGGAAGTTATATAGTTATATATGATTTTAACTAGCTTGTTGATATGAGAACTCCTATAATACATTTGTTGGAGGTAGATTTGACACCTTCCTTGTGTTAAAAAGATTAAAATTCTAGTTTAATTTATTTATTGTGATGTCCTTCCTACAAATTACTTAACGCATCATAAGAAGTTAAAGCCTTCACCCATTTGTTTGAGATGTCACACTTACATCAAGGACACTCTCCACTATCAAACTATTCGACAACTAAGGAGATTTGAGTTCATACAGGTCTATAGATTAAAGATTTGTAATTTTCTTTGATTCTAATAACTGAATTATGATTCAACATAAAAGTAATTCTTACTTTTTTTTAAGCTACACTATGATGGATATAAAGGGTTAGAAATATTGATTGCATTGTTAGAAGAAAAGAACCTAATTTATAAAATTATGCTTGATGTTATAAACTTTACTAACCAACTTCATTTATGTGAATACGAACAACAATCTTAGGCGCTCTTGGGGTGCTGAGTTCATTGGGAGGCTAATCAAAATTTTGAATTCATCCTTAATATTGATGTGAGTACTTAGGGGAGTTTAGAAAGAATTGATTTTAGTGCTCTTATTAGAAATATGGATGGAAATTAGTTTAAAAGAACTTCTAGTTTCATTGAAATTTTTGACAATATCTCTGTTGAAGTCATAGTCATGCTTCAAAGGTTGAAAATAACTTAGAATTTAAATATCAAACATCTCTTGTGTTAGCCTAACGTGACGAAGGTCATAAACTTTGTGATAAAAATTTTCAAATTTCCACAAGTATGATAATCTCATTTTGGATACAAAGAAGTAACTAAGAAAACATTTACAAATCATCATTAGACACACTTTGTATGAAGACAACACGTGTAAATTTTTTAGCTAAGTTTGGAGCCTTTTCATATTGTGGGTTCAAAGATGGGTCTCACTTCCAATAGGCTAGAAATTACTTCTTCAGACTAATGAATAAAAGAGTCTAACATAATTTTTTCCTTTTTTATTTTTATTATTTGTTTCTTTACTTTCCTTTTTTAAAAAGTAATTATGGCATTATGAGCATGTTTAGACATATATTCTAACCATGTTAAAAACAAACAAGTAAATGTTTTAGTATCCTCATTTGACAATAAAGCACAATCCAGTGGCACAAATCGACCACGATAGTTTACGCCATCAAACGATTCAAAAGGTATGTCATATTTATTTATATTAAATCACATGTTAACTCCTTAAAATTCATATGCAACCTTATATCTTTCTTCTGGCCAAAACACATTTCACAAATGACATTCATTAACTATATCCATTACATAATAAAATTGACTATTTTGATTCAACTTTGTAACAAATTAGTTTAAATTTCTTCAACATCTCTTATCTTTGGTCGAAGTTACCTTACTTTGTCTATATAGCTTCTACAATATTTTTTTCCCCAAATGTACGATTGTCATATCCATTTTCTTGAACAACTAAAGATTGAAAACTTTTGCTTACTTTGATCTCAGCTTGATTATTAAGTTCTAACCTTGAAAGCACAATTGTTCCATTTAAAAACACTAATACATTTGATCTAGCCACCATACTTTGTGTTTTTATAATAGAATTTAATTTCAAAAGATTCTTTGAATTGCTTATAAACTTTCTTGCTCGATTACATACTAGAGCAAAATATTTTTTTCCATCATCTCCTTTTTTGAGCTTATTTTAGCAATTTCAAAATTCATACATGAAGCATAATTTTTATAATACTCTGTTACTTCATCTTTTGAGTTGAAAGTCATGCCAACTTTAGGTTCTTCATCTCAACTGTTAACATTTGCTTCCAAACTAACATTTTTATTTATTTCTTCTTCATTAAAAGATAGATATATTTCTTCTATTATTGCAACAAAAATAAAAACAAATACTTAACATTAATTAGTTAATTAAATAATCAAATTATTAATAATTAATAATAAATTTTTCTTTTTTATTACATTATTTTTTTTTCATTTGAAGTGCTCATTGCTTCTAGTTCAAAGTTAGGATGAGTCTACTTTGAGTATATTCTACTGAAAAATAATCTCATTAATAGTACATGATAATAGCAATATTAATAGTCAATAATAATACTTAACACATATCATCTTAGTTAAAGTAAATGGTAGAAAAAAAAAATCTTAAAGTGATATCTTTGTATAAATGAGAATATTAATCAATAAATACTTATAATGGATGTGAAGTAAAAAAAAAAGATAAATTAAAAAATCTTATAAAATAATTAATCATTAATAAAGTGATAAACTAATTCTTGACTATTGACAAATTTTAATAGAGCATGAACTTTAAAAAAATTTCTTACCATTATCATTTTAAACATAGCCATGTTGATTTATAAATTTTAGCAAAATTTATCTATTAAAATTTAATTTGAAAATAATAATATTTTTTTGACAAAGATAAAAATATTAATATTTTTATAGTGGATAATAATAATAATAATAATAATAATAATAATAATAATAACCTTGATAAAAATCTCATTTGTCTATGAAGATTTTTGTACTCTTTGTCCTTTTTTAGCAAACCGAAAAGCATGAAAATCAACTATTCTTTTATTCTTTAAAGTCCTCAAACCTTTTATTTTATTGTTAAAAATCCTTTGAACAAGCTTTTGAAATTAAAAAAGGAAGATGAGACATTCTTATAACAAATCTTTGGAGCATCATTCAATATACAAATTTTATAAGAAAATCACTATAGTTAGTTTTTTTTTTTTTTGAGTTTGAAAATGCTCTGTTTACTTTCATTTATTTTAAAGACATATTATATTATTAATCAATGCCATGTCCATACATAAATGTTGATTTGACAAAGGAAATGCTTATATAATTTAAGTAGATTTTCAAAATTGAACATCAAATCAAAATGATTTCTACGATGCTTTACTTGAAGAAATTCATTTGAAATTATAATAATTTTGAATCTGATCAGCACTATAATTATAGTATCCTGTGAAACCAAAACATTTATTATTTTCTTTGGGCACATGCTTAAATAAAGACCTGATTGAACCGTCAAACATATACTATACAGTGATATATGACAGTCATTAACTTGTTGCATTACAAAAAGACAGCGATATCTAAAATACTTCTTTTACATTTTGATAATAGTAAAAAATATAATACAAATATAGTGCCTTAAATTCAATAAATAAAAGTACAAGCATTTGAAGCTTTTAAACTTTAAGAAATCTTAAAATTATTTTAATGACAGTTTATAAATATTTTGTTATATTTAATATTAATAAAATAAATTTAAATATTAGTTAATATTATGAAAAGAAGTAAAAATTTTATTAAAATTAAATAACTAATTGAAGCTAAACTATAATTCGTTTAAATGTAAGATACCCACAACTAAATAAAAAATGAGAAAAAAAATATATAAAAGTCACTTTTTATCAATGAAGATTTGAATTTATTTATTTAAAATAAGTATCCATTTGATTCAAGGTTGCATATAATATTATTTTCAAATTCTTGAATGTCATTGAGATGTTTGCTTAAACTATGTATTTTTTTGTTGATATATATATATATATATATATATATATATATATATGTTAAAGTGCGAGAATTATTATTTTATTAATTTTAATTTTAAATATTTAAAAATAATAAAACTTGATTTTGAATAAAATGTTTTGAATTAAAGATACAGGATTAAAATAAATATTTTTTAAATCAAATCTGTTATTATTAGTTACTTAAAATCTATCCCAAACATTAAAATTAACATTTGTTAATTTAACGTGAAAACAAAATCGGTGATAACGGCCAAAATTACGTCTTAACTTAATTATTTAACGGTTTTTTATTTGTTAATTTAAAATTGCAAAGTATTCCTGAAATGGGGAATTACTGCTAAGTGCTTTCTTTTTAGAAAAAGAAAGTGAGAGAAAAGTAATAAAAGTAGTGAGAATCTCTGCCTTACTCATAGGATATGCGTTGCCCTGTTTCATTTTCATTATTATTCCCAAACAATTATTTACGTGCTTTTTTAGTTTATTATTTTTATTTTTTCTCTCTTTCTCTCTCTCTATGATTAAAACCCTAATTTTGCTCGCTCTCAACTTCTTCTCTTGAATTCGAAAGCTCCTTCACCGTTTCTCTTTCTCTCTCTCTGCTTTTTGCTCTCTCATGTCGACGGCACGTGAAGAGAATCCTTACGAAGGCGGAGGCGGGTTTGGTAAGTTCCGAAAACGACCGTTTCGGAGGGCCCAAACGACGCCGTACGATCGGCCACCGACAGCGTTGAGAAACCCTAACAGGAACAACGGTTGGTTCTCGAAGCTTGTCGATCCCGCGCAGAGGCTCATCGCTTCTAGCGCCCACAAACTTTTCGCCTCCGTTTTCCGCAAACGCCTTCCTCCACCTTCACAAGGTTTCTCTCTCTCTTAAAAATTGAGATTTTCTATTCGTTTTAATTCAAAGAAGCTTCTTTTTTTAGGCTTTTTTTTTTCAAATTTTTTTATGCGAATATGATCTATTTCGGTGTTATTGCGAATAATTAATATCTTTAATGTCTTCAATTTTGAAAGCATTTAAGGCGCCATTTATCTAATAATTATTTTTTGTTGTTGCTGTCGTTGGATTTTGTTATGCGTTTCGAAAATAATTGAATTTTAGGTTTTGTATTGTGGGTTGTGTTTATGTTTATGAAAGCTTGAAGATGTTGTAACGGTATGATAGTATTTATTTTGATACTCTCCTCCATAAGTCTTGGACTATATTTTCTACCTACTTGTAGCAACTGGCTTCAATTTGTGAGGGTAGTGCTGGAGGGTACTGTAATTAAACATGATGTTAATGCGTTATTTAATTGAGCTTAACGTTTTGATGATGCGGTTAATGGATTGAATTGAAGTCAGTGAGTCTAACATGTGAAAACGTGGAGATGAATTGCAAGGGAAGCCCTTGTTTTTTGTTAGAATGTTGGTATGGAGCATGATATGTGAGGTGGTTTTTCTAGTCTATATGAAAGGGTAATTTTGGTGAGAAAAGTGCACCTGCGGTTATTGATCTGGATTGCATGACTGAACAGACTTCGGTTGGCTTCTTCTGGTTTGTGGATGACCACAATTGATTGGATGTGGAGTTGTTGACTGGTTCAGTGGTTCCCATCCTACCCCTGATATGTTATTAGTTTGTAAACATTATCTACAAGAATATGATTAACATGGTATAATTTGTGCACTTAATAATAATGTTCCCTAGCAATTAAGTTCTTGGCTTGCGTATTAAATTTCTAAGCTGAGTAGGATGGTGTAAATGAGCAATGGGAACCAATGGCTGTGAAAATTTGCTCTGGGCTTGCTGCTTTCCCTATTTTTCTGTGTAAAAGTTGTTATAAATTGTTGTAATGGTATGCGCTAAGGTAACTTGTTACTTGTAACTTCTCTCTAATTTTGTATGTTTTCTGATACTGAAGCAAGTCACGTGGTTCCATGTTTTTACTTTATGGTATTTTTTGGGCACAGAAACAGCACAGGAAGTGACGGACCATCATCAGGAAACAGCTAGCGTTGTAAGTATGCACATATATAATTCATTTTTCAATGTCTTTTGGAATGATATTTTGGGTATGATGCTGCATTTGTTTTAAACATAGTTGTCAATAACACGAGATAGTGGTGGTGCCTGGCAGAATGGCCTTTGGCCGCTACAGATCTGGCATAGCGGCGCATTTTTTCTGTCATGCCCTTCGCGGTCAATCATGGCTGTATTTGCAGCCCAAAACGTGGCCATTGGCTGTGCAATAGCACCATCACGGAAATATATTAACTTTCCTTCTCTACCCTCAAAATGAAGGAATTTTAGGATTTTTTAAGGGTAACAAAGACTTTTAATATTTAAGAAATAAGCTGATTTTTCCTTTTTGCCCGTATGATGACTCTATTTAGGTTTTTTTAAGGGCAAAATAGTCTTCTTAGTTTTCAGACCTAACCTCACTTTTCCCTGCAATTTTTTCTTCCTTTCTCTCTTCGACACCCCTTCCTCTCTTCTCTATTTCTGTTCTGCTTTGCAACTAGAGACCTAGGACGAAACCCCCTTTTTCTACACTGTTTTTCTTCTCCTCTGTTCGATGCTCCCTCCTCCCATCTCTTTCTCTGTTCTGCTTTGCAACTATCTCCAGTCCAGCAGAGTCACTCATCTTGGATGACTTCTGTGGCAAAAGCCACTTCCTTTCTTCTCTATTCTATGATTCTACAATCCTGCCTCTGTTATGTTATGCTATTTATGCATATTTGTTTAGCATTATTATATACGCAATTATCTGGATATGTATATATTTTCTATCCATATAAAAAACTTTAAAATAGTGGTAATCCAGCTATGCGCTGCGATAGCGTTTTGAGGGTCGTCCACTACACACTGTTATCCAAGATTAACAACTATGGTTTTAAAATTAAATTCTGTGTATCATTTATGATTTTATCATGTTACTAGTAATATTTTGGTTATTTCATTATTTAATTACAACTTAATATAAGTTATGATAATAAAGCTTCACTTTTCTCGCTTGATATACTAAATAAAAATAATTAAATAGGATATTTATTATCAAATCATTATTGCAAGCTATGAAACTCTACAATGAATTCATTTATTTATTTTCAAAGTATTCATTTTAATTCTGCTTGTCAAGACAATAGTATTTATTTATAAAGATAGAAGATGGATAATATTTACTACAAATTCACAAACTTTTGCTGTTGATTTGGTTGGATAATTTCACTCATTGTTGATTGAGGTTGTTACTAGTATTACTGTTTTTGATTCTTGTCTGCTGTGTCCCCTTGTTTATTATGCTCCTGATTATTGATATTTGTTTTTGTTATTATTATTATTATTATTGTGATTGTCATTGTTTTTTGTTTGCTGTTGGAGGAGGAACAGGCTGCAAATGAATCCTCTGGCAGGCAAGGAGGAGTAGGTGAAACTGGTATCCAAATTAACTGTTCTGATGGAGATGGATTAACTGAGCTTGAGAAACTATTAAAGCAGAAAACTTTCACCAGGTATGATTTGTATGATATGCATGACTGCATGTGAGTTCACTAATACTGGGTTGCGTGGTCTGTTTTTAGTGCCAACATTTAAATAATCTTACTTTGAGAAAATTCTTGAATGAAATTATCAAATTTATAGTTCTAAATGATTTTTTTTGGTGATTTGTTATTTGCATAAACTCCTGTGTTTGGTTGCAGACTGAAAGATTAAAGAAGTTTTCTGATTGCATATCATGATGTCTTTGTAGCTCAGTATATGCTTTTCCAGTTGGGTGTGTGTTACTATGTGCTTTACCAAATTACCAGATTTAAGCAGTCTCCATTTATTTGATTTTGAATTTTATCTCTTACCAGTGTGTGTGTGCATTTGATCTTAACTTAGGGTTGAATATATATTTTACGAGTGGAGGGATGTGTTATAGTTAGACAATTTGCTGCCAACAGCTCAACATAACACAGTTTTATGACTCGGTTTGGTGAAAAATGATGCAATCATATTGTATGGTTAATAGAGTCAATTTTGTCGCTTGATTCATGTAGTTGAGTTCACCTCATGGGATAGTACTTGATGATGGTTGTTGTGTAATTTGCAATTTGTGTATAATTTGTTAAAGCTTACGATGTTCTTGTTTTGAAATTTGCAATTTGCTTCTTCTCGTTTCAAGTTTATTTCTATCTCTTCTGGTTGTCCCTTTTATGTTCTTGCCATTCCCTTGTTTTAGACAATATTCCTTCTGGCTTAAGTGTTTTGTTGATTCTTCACATGATAATTGTCTATTATTCCACAGATCAGAGATAGATCATTTGATAGAACTTATGCGTTCAAGAACAGTGGATTTACCTGTTGAGGAAGAAGGGAAGAGAACAGAAGTGATTCCATCTGATCCAATTTTGCCTGGTGAACAAAAGGAAGAATATCCCAGAACTCCAGCCCTAGAGAATGGGATTGATAACCATCTTATTTCAACCCCTTTTGTTAATTCCACTGTATGACAATTAGCTTCATTTCTATCTTTGATATATGTTTTGACTGTAATTTTTAAATTATTATCATGATCTATTTGACATGTATTTGTGTCTATAGGTTTCTATTGATGATACTGCTTCACCTGCGGAGCTTGCAAAGGCTTACATGGGGAGCAGGCCTTCAAAGGTATCCCCATCAATGTTAGGCTTGCGGAGTTCTCTCAGGGAGGATCCAACTCTACTAAAAGGTCAACGCATTGCTCAGAAATCCCCAATTATGTCAATCGTGCCAAGGGCTACTACCGTTAGTAGGGTTCATGAAAATGGTTTTGTGACCCCAAGATCTCGTGGCAGATCAGCAATATATAGTATGGCTCAGACACCTTATGCCAGAGTTTATCCAGCCTCTACGTCCAAGGTTTGCTATTTATTGAACGGTACTTTTTATCAAGATATTTCTAGTGTTGAAATTTATATATGGTCCCCCTAACTTACAGGGTACTGGGGTTTCCGTTGATGGTGATCCGTCACAGCATGCATTAGATCATGATATGCTTTCTGGATCCAAACAAGGGGTATACGTCCTGTGATTATATGTCCTAATCCTTTCAATCTATATTTAAGAGTTCCCTTTGTGGGTATGTTACTGGATTTATCCATTTTTCCCTCCTTACTTTTGCAGGCGTTAAAGCGTAGAAGTTCTGTATTAGATAATGATATAGGATCTTTTGGCCCTATACGCCGAATCCGTCACAAATCTAATCTTCTATCTTCCAAAAGCTTGATCTCTCCCCATTCGGGAAGCCCTCTATCTATAAATAGGAGTGGAGTTGGCATTGATCCTGCTCAGCAACCTTCATCTTCTATGCAGAAGCCTGTTCTGTTTGGGGAAGTTAAGCATAGGCATACAAAATTGGCTGCAGAAAATGTGGATGACACTATGCCTAGTACCAGCTTTCCTCCTTTACCCTCAAAATCTAGTGAGATGGCCTCAAAAATACTGCAGCAACTTGATAAGTTGGTTTCTCCTAAAGAAAAATCATCAGAACTGAGGCTACCAACTGTAACCGATAAGTCTCCAACAAAGTTGTCCTCATCCATGTTACGAGGACCGGCTCTTCGAAGTATGGAGAAAGTAGATTCATCAAAATTCCTGGATAACTTACAGGATAATGAATTGGATGGCACACTTGGAAATTTGTCTGCTAATGCTGAAAAGTTAACATCAAAGCTAGACAAAGTTGAAAATGGTCCATTGAAGCTTGTTGCTCCTGCTGATGGAATAGTTCCTGTTGTGACTGATGCAGATACTACAGTCCAACGGAAGCAAGATATATCTATTGTAAGATCTGGAGATTCCTCTGGAGCAAAACCTGTATCTTATAGTCCGCAAAAAAAGAGGGCATTCCATATGAGTGCACATGAGGTTTGAGATTTTACTTAATATCTGTGTGATGGTTTCTTTAAGTTATCTTGATTTTTAGTTTTGGTTTTATATTTGGCTTCCTGTTAATTATTTTTTATAACTTAGTGGAAAGTGCTGGTACTGTTAATATTCTTGTTTATAGTAATTTATTTATTTTTCTCCATTTGACTTCCAAACAATGATGATTGAAGCAATTTCCAGGGAATTATTTTTTGTTCTGATACTTTTGTTTTGATTTCTGACAGAATATAGTAATTGAGTTTTCAAATGAAAAATATGATTCAGTGATTCAATCATTGATAATGACTATTCACTGTTGTTTTTAATACTCTTTCTTGTGAAGGATTATCTGGAGCTGGATGATGATGCCCATCCTAATGGAGCTGTGCCTCCTTTCTCTGTTTCTGGGAAAGAAACAACAGTCTCCACTGCTGTGGCTGAGAAAATTACCACATCTACTGATACAGCTGTAATTGGGAAGACCCCTGGTTCACCTGTACCAATGCCGTTCAAAAGTTTTATGTTTGATGGTAAACCTCATGTTAGGACAGCTGATGGGTCTGTAGTTGAAGGGAAGGTTGATGTACCAACCTCTATAGCTTACTCTGTCTCTGATACTAATTCTAAGCCAACTACAGGTGCAATTATAGCAGCTTCTAACACGAGTTTAGGCTCTGACAAGTGTACTTCACCAAATGGATCAGTTGGTAAACCTTCTCTGTTTAACTTTGGGAATAAAATTGTTCCATCAAAAGAGCTGACAGCTGCTGATGGTCCACCAAAGGAGTCTCCTAAATCGGGTCCAATATTTGGTTTGGAGAAAGTTGCACCATCAGAGGAGCCAGGTGCTAATGCCCCATTGGTTAATACTGGCTTCAACAAAAATGTTAACAATGTTTCACAAGTGCCATTTACGTTCTCTTCATCTGTTGATGGTGAATCTGGTGCGTTCAAATTTGGTGCTGCTTCTGACAAACCAAAAAGATCAATCAGGTTAGTGTTAGTTTTGGCTTGCTTTTACAATCTCTCAAAATAACTCTTTACTCATCTCGGTTAATTTTGTAGTTCAATGTACTTCTGTTCTGCCTGTTCTGTTTACTCGTCAGTGAAAGAGTTTGTCTGAATGTAATCATTGGAGTATATCTTTATTTATCACAGCTAGCTTCTACCATCCCCTGTAATTACTGCAGTAGCTTGTGTTTTTATTTGATGCCTTTAACTCTTCCCTGTGATTGTTCCGTTATCAATTGATTTGAAAAAGGCTTTTTGCATCCAGTCCAAGGGTCATAGATTCACTGAATATATCATGCCACTTATATCTGTTATCTTGAACTTTGAATGTATAGCCTCATTTTTAAAGTGAATTTTGAACCTTTTTTGTATTTACTTTTTGCAAAGTGACTCTGATTTCTATGAAGTATCTTAATTATGTACATATGTGGTGCATTGTTAAATTGGAATTGAAAAGAGATATAGGGCATCTGCCATTATATTCTGTGAAGTGTTACAATGATCAATGTATTAAATGTTCCCTTCATTTGCAGCTCAACTACTGTTTCTGGTACTGTTGATTCAATGCCAAAAGCTTTTGACACTGATAATACTGATGTGAAGACTAATGTAGTGACTGGTTTCTCTGCTCGGTCATCTGAGCCAACTGTTTCTTCTGCAGCATCGACATCACCTGCAAATATATTTACCTTTGGCAACAGTTCAAATCAAAACAATGGGCCTGCTGCTTCGAGCCCTGCATTTTCCTCTCAATTTCCACCTTTGGTTACAAATAATTTTACAAGTCAGAATATATTCAGTAGCTCATCCCTTGCAGCTAGCAACAGCAGTGTTAGTGCCACTGCAACCTCCTCTTGCACTAGCATTACAACCAATACCCCTGCTGTAGTTCCAGCCAGCAATAGCAGTTCCTCCTCCCAAGTGGTGGCATCTTCATCTCCAACAACTTCCTTTTTCAAATTTGGATCTACCTCATTACCATCAAGTTTACCTGTATCATCTTCTGGCTCAGAACCTGTGGAAAGCAAGAGCAGGCAGAATGCAGGAAGTAATAATATTGTTGGCACTTCATTTGGAAGCTCTTCTGCTGCAGTTGGAATTGGAAGCACAGGGAGTGGCATTTTTGGGTTTAGTTCCTCAGCAATGACAACCGTAAATAGCCAGTCTCAGGGTTCTGTCTTTGGCACAACAAGTGGGGCTGTCCCTGGTGGTCTGGGGTCTTCTGTTACTAGTGGTTTTACAACTTCGTCTCAGAGTCAGTCAGTGGCACTTGGTTCATCTGCATCATCCCCATTGTTTGGGTTGACTGGGAACACATCTTTTTCTTCTGCGAATTCGTTGTTTCCTTCTTCAAGTTCTACACCAAACATTTTCAACTCGGGTACAACTTCTGGACAAAGTACCTCTGCTTCGTCTTCAGAAGCCAACCCTGTTAGCTCCAATGGTGGTACAAGTGCTACGTTGTTTGGGCTTTCTAACTGGCAGCCCAGCAAGTCTCCCCTTGGTTCTTCCTTTAGTTCATCAGCTTCATCTTCGTCTGGGTTTTCCTTTGGTTCTTCTTTTAGTTCATCTTCATCTACCTCTGGGTTTTCCTTTGGAGCATCCACTCCTGCTGTTACTGCTACCAGTTCTCCCATGATGTTTGGATCATCCACCAGTGCATCAACACCTCAGTTCTCATTCACTTCTGCTGCAGCTACTACCAACATGCAGCCTTCTTTTGGAAGTTCTAGTCCTGCCTTCACGTTCGGTTCAGCTTCTGTTAGTAATGATCAGATGAGCATGGAGGACAGTATGGCTGAGGACACAGTTCAAGCAACACCACCAATGACTCCTGTATTTGGTCAACAACCTGCCCCACCTCCATCAAATTTTGTATTTGGAGCATCAACTCCGACAGGAGCGAGTCCTTTCCAGTTTGGGAGTCAACAGAATATTGCTCCACAGAATCCATCTCCATTTCAGGCGTCTGGCAGTCTAGAATTTAATGCTGGAGGGAGTTTCTCATTGGGTACTGGCGGAGGTGACAAGTCTGGTCGAAAATTCGTGAAAGTTAAGCATAAGCCGCGTAAGAAGTAAAAGACTATAGTTATGAAAATGGTTCTCTATCACTACTGGAGTCTGAACTTCATTGATGCAACGAATTAATAGGCTTTAAAGGTGAGTGTCCTGAATCACTGTCCAGTTAGTTAGGAGGAATCTGGACTGGTGATGTTATCGAAAGCAAATCAACACATGCAATCGTGCCAATCTCATGTTTTGCTTCTTATCGAATGCAAGGCATAATTTTTCACAATTTTGTGATAGTATGATATTATAGAACATAATCTGCTGTACTTGTAATGGTTTTAGGTTAGGATCAAGATTTGGTCAGTTATGTTCACAATCCCTGTATTCTCGTTACTTGTATCATAGCCAGAAATAGGCATGAATTTATGGCTTAGCTGGTTGTCAAATAACTTACAATTCAAGTGAGCAATCTGTGAATGTTTATTAGCTAATAGGCCTTTGGCCTTCTTTTTACGATATATTTTTGCATCGAATTTAATTTGCGACTGATTCGATGGTATGATCGTACTACCTGGACTGGCAAGTTTTATTGGCCCGTATCCAGAAGGATGGTGCTTTTTTTTTTTTTTTTTCAAATCTTGGCAGCGGGTTATTTCAACTGTGTAAAATGGTTAAAAGTGGATAAAATTGGTTGGATTTGGATATGCCAAAATGTTTCTGTCGGTATCCGATAGAGGCATTAATTCTAAAAACCTGAAAATAAAAAGGCCCAAACCCTCTCAAAGATAAACACACCTAAAATTTACTCGAGAATCATAATCTTCATAGGAAGGATAAAACAATGTTTCAAAAAAAGAATTTCATTAAAACCTAGTACATTTGCTCAAAACATACAAAATAAAAACATATTAGACTTTAGCGGTTCTAAACAAAGTAAATATTATCTACTTGCGCATATCATAATGAAGCCTCATGCAGCTAAGTAAAATCGCCTTTCTTTTTTAGCTTTTTCTTCTTTTGCTGTCTCTTCTTTTTCATTGTATGTTAGTGTAAAACAGTTTGCTAATATAGTAAGGAAGGCCATTAAAAATACTGGGCATAGTCCCAGTTGCATCATATTGGAGGTAAAAGAAGACAATGCTAGAAAAAGCAAATGAAATTAAGAGAGATAGTAAATAGTAAATAAAGATTGAGAAAAAAAGACAAAAAAAATAGTGACCACATGAAAAGATAGAGGGATAGAAAGGCAAGAAAAAAGAAAAAGAAAAATCAAAGAGAAGGTAAAGTCCAATTATAATGAATAGAAAGATTCATGAAGGGGGAAAAGACTCTCTACTCCTCTCCCTTTGAGGAGGAGTATTGTACCATATGAATACTTGATATTTGTGATCTCTGAAGGTTGAAGAAGGGCGGAGGAGGTCTCTCATAGAGGTGTTCCTAAAAGAAACATTTCAATATCCAAGTTAGGAAATATTTGACCAGAACAAGGGTATAAGATGGTAAGATTGCGTATTTAGGTCAAGAGGTTCCTTCTTTATATTTGCGTCATAAGCAGAGGCAAATTTATTGTCATTTACTCCTAACAGTATAACTGTTTGATATAAAAATGTATTCAGTTGTTGACGATGTGGATGATACAACTGATATAAATGAGATTTTATAACAGTTGTAAATCAATTTAGATACAATCAATATACTCTTTTAGGTCCTTTTTATAAGAAACAAATGATAGATTCAAGATGTATTAATTGCTAAATTTCTTTTATATCTTTCTTTTATTAGTATAATTAAATATACAAATTACAAACAACATCATTTAATATCATGAATATTTTTAGAATAAAATTTATATTTATGAAAAATATAACATACTTAATTACTTTTCTTAATCTTGATGATTTAATCTTTTATTTCTTATGAAAAGGACCAGAGAGAGTAATAAGTAAAACATTTTAAATTGGTTTTACAATTGATGTAAAAAAGGTGTTTTATTTCGATTAAGGATAGTTGATTTAAAAAATATAGATTTTCTATGTACTTGAACTCGAATGAGATTAATATTCTATACCCAAAATTGTAAACAGAAACTTGAGAATGCAAGGTGATTCACACTTTGTTGAGTCTCTAAATTAAGAACATGTAATTTTTGTCAATGTTGTATCAAAACAAATGCGTTATAAAAATAAAAACACAACATGAAACTTGAGATGACGTAACTAAACTAAAATGACATTAGTGTTCATCATACCAAAAAACACAATAGAAGCTCAAGAATGCAAGGAGATTCCAAGTATATTTGAGTTTTTTTATTAAGTTTGTAAATGAAGAATATACAATGTTCATCAATACAAAAATAAATAGGTTAATAAAAATGAGAATGTAGAATGAAATTTGAGATGTTTGTCAATAAAGTACCTTAATTGGAACAAGATTAGTATATTCAATTATGTATTCTAAAATGCAAACAAAAGCTAAAAAATGCAAGTAAGTGTTTGTCATCTCCAAACTTTGTTCTTAGTTTTTTTTACCTTGTTTCACTAGTGCACTTGAAATCTTACTTTTAAATTGCTTTTTACATTAGTTATACAAGAAATATTTTAAAAAATGACTTTATACATTATTTCAAATATTAACCAATTAAAAAAATATTTTATATGTCTATTAAAATTTAATGCATATGAACAAAGTATCAAATAATTTTGAATTGATTTAAAATTTTGTAGGTGTTATTTATGTGATTAAAATTTTAAATCTAACAACTGATTTTTAGATTATATTATTTAATAAAAAATTATTAAACGGTGCAAGAGTGAGTGTAATTATATTGATATAATTTGATCTCTTTCCTTTCTCCTTCTTAATATCAAATTTTAACACTCACATCTCTTAATAACTTTTCATAGAATAGAGATTGATTAATTCAACTACTAAATTATCTTATATTAAATTTTAGGTAATTTGAACATATGTAGGTATTATCCAAAAGTTAATATTTTAAAAATGTATTACACGTTAAAGTAAAGTAATGTGATAAAGTACCTATTCATTTTAATTTTATATAAAATTGATCTATTTGATAAAATTTTAAAATCATTATTTAGATTGATTAATTTCATATTTTACGAGAAGATATTAAGTGAAATAAATACTCAGTTTATGCACCTAGTGATATATATATATATATCACTAAAAGCAATTCTATTCAAATCAATCCAGTACCAACGCTAATATTTTCTCTAAGAGTATTTAATATAATGACATTTATTAATATTGAAACTCGAAATCGAAACTAGACGTTAAAACTGAATAATCCACAATAAATATATTTGATTCACCTAAATCTAGCAATTTTCTAAATTTTATTATTGATTTAAAATTAAGCTTTATACGGTATTTTAATTGAGCTCAACGCGTAAACATTTTAAAAATTATTTACATTTCCAGCAATATGATTTCTGATAATTATATATAAGTATTCTTTAAAGTTATTCATAGATGATTTATTCAATTTAAGAATAATTTTATTTATATTTGGTGCTATTAGGACAAGGATTCGGTCGATGGGTGTCGAGAGGAACAATGACAAAGTCACAAAAATTGTAAACGAAGGGGTTGTGAGGGTTGGAGAATATTACCTAGGGTTACACTTTTGCTGCAAGCCACCTTTGTTGATAACCACATAATTGAAAATGATTTTAGTCCCACCAAAACTAAATTTTCATTGCAACAATCTGTGACTCAAGGCTATTACCGGCTTACCATTATTCAAATTCACCATAAAATACAAATTTTCTCAAGAGCTAGGGCGTTTCTCAAAATAAAAGATGTCTTAAATTTCAAGGAAGAAGTTAACAAAGAACAAAGATAGCAAGATCACAGGTTACCTTGCATGAGCTCCTGTAACCTACAATTTGGACCTTTGCTGTTAAATTTCTAGATTGCTGAATCCTAGGTAAATTTTTTATCGGTCCCTATTTAGATAGCAATTAGCAATTCCCTCCACTTAATTACACAGGTCATGGATGCCATTGTTTAAAATCCTTATCAACCTACTATCTTGCTGTTTCAAGGCACTTTGCACCATGGTCCCCTATATGGTTCGAGTGCACATTGCTTTCCCTAATTCCTTAGCTAAATAATTTGACCCCTTAGGAATGACTTAAACAGAACTGATTAGAAACTACAAGAACCAAGGCATATCATCCTGTTCTCCTGAGCCATCCAACCAAGTCTGATGTAAGTGCATCCAGGTATACTCATTCGGTGCATCAACCTGCCAAAATCCAGAAGCTATTAATAGGTAAAGTAAAATCATAATATTCAAGTGAAATGAAGTGCTAAATAAAAAGTAACAGCTAAAGACGAAGTACAAAGGCTCACCTTTGAATTCATCAAAACCTTTGTTAAACAACACCGTGACTTATTCCCTGATTTTAGATGATAGAGGATAGTTTAATAAGCAAAAGATAAACAAGTAATTTAAAGGAGACTCATAAAGCCATTTTATAAAGGGAATGAGAAATTTCTAACTTATGTAAACAACCTTAGATGTGTAGCCTACAGCACAATGCAAATGAGCATAAGTTGAAAAGAAGAAACAGAAAATCAGCATGCTACATTTGAATTAGGCAACGTATGAACAGAATTACAGATGAAAATCACACAATCACTCATCATACATTATAGCATCAAATCCAATATAAGTTTCTGCAGAATATGTACTGTATATTTTCCACAGAGCTGGTCATACTGTGAAAGTAAATACTAGATAGAGATGTGTTTCTGACATATCAGCCATTGATGGTCATGTATACTACTTACGTAATTTGGTTGTGCCACTCTCGAATGCTGATTCCTTGATAATTATGAAATTACTTGTGTATTTGGTGATAAAAATGCTGTAGGATTTTCCTTTTATCTGGCATACTACGAGCATACAACTACTTTAGAAACTTGAAATACAGAGGCTAAGGAAATGGAATCTATTCTGCCTTTTAACAGAAGATGGAATAGTGTTTTGCCTCATAATTTGTTGCTCTATTTTAGAAACAGACACCTGCTTTTTATTCTAGTAAATTTCTCCATTCAGGGAAAAGGTGACTGGTGGATTATCCTTTGGGGTTAATTATACGATGTTAGAATATTGGGTTTAACTTCAGTCTGCCAGTGTTATTTATTGTACAACATCACAAAATCACTCAGTTTCATTGGGGAAACATTCTCTTTTCTATTTTACAATAACAGAATTAAAATCCAAGTACACGAGAACACATTTTACAATAGTGGATTCAATACTAGTCTATTAGGAAAGCTAAAAGGAGTTCCAAGCTACAATACAATTGTAGCAAGAATGAATCTCCTGAATTAATCATTGAATTTAAAGGATGTGACGGTGTAACAGAACTGTTAAAATATCCCGTATTGGCTAAGAATAGAGCCAGATTTCTACTTATCTTGGGTAGTCCTCCTCCATGAACTAACTTTTGAGAGTGAGTGAGGACCAAGTTTCTTAATAAGAACAATATATTTTGTAGACAGACAAATAATTGAGAGCTTAGAGCTGATGCATTTATATAAAGATTCAGGCGTTAAGGAGTCCATATTTTCTATGAAATTGAGAAAGGGCAAATGTCAATGTGGTAACGGAGAATCTTAGTGACGGATAGCAACTGTATCTTTGAAAAAAGAAAACTGAGTTTGGCTTTAAAAGTATTTTGGCTGCTGTAGTAATTCTGAATGCATACAGTCACATATTTCTGTCAGTCACTACCACTGTTGCTTCTTATATACACAGCAGGGAATTGAATGCAGATAAGTAGAGATATATCTAAATGGCGAGAGAAAATTGGGATTAATTGCTGAACTCCAAAGGAACAAAATCCAAATTGATGCACCAATGCTTTTATATGGTCAAATGGACAGAAAAACATACAACCTCCTCTCCGATTCCATACTGCAAGAAAATGACAAAAGCAAGAGCACAGCTATTTCACTTGGTAGATTTTTCTCTACGCTAAAGTTTTACAACTTCTATCCCACGATATTTTATCAAACGATTCTTTCAAATTTTCATCATTGACTCCTCGTGTTGTATGAGTAGAATTGCCAAGAAATTGGACAACTTGGAATTATGCATATCAAATCCACAATAGATTGGTAAACCTCTATAGTTATGAATTTTTAGTCAAATCAAATGTATTTCTTTAGTTCACATCTATAAGAACAGCGAACAGATAGGGTTTAACTAATCTAAAAAGCTAGCTTAAGGAGAGAGGATAGCCCAAGTTATTATTAAGGAATACTTTGACCACACATATCCAACTTTTGTTGGATCTTAATAATGTCAAAGTTTTTAATCAAAAGAACAAACTACTTCAGTAAAACTGATGCAAGAGGCAAGCTGACCACACAAACTTACACCAAAACAAGAGATATCTATTGAGCAATAGTGTCATACTCTCTTCAATATTTAATGTCTCAAAAATGAAAAAAAATAAAAATCAAAGTATTAACACAGGAATTCCTACTTTCCCAGTGTGCCTATCACACTAGACCTGCTCTTGCATGCCCACACACTCATAGTAAACAAGAAGTCATCAAACAAATAAAGATGCAAAGCTATAAAAAGAAAGATCATGAAGAATAAAAAAGTTAAGACTAATGAATTAAAGTTAGAAACAAAACTCACCATATAACTCCCACTTGTCAAATTTGACCAGCCATGAACCCAAACTAACCTCTGCAGAAGATACACCATCAACCCAAACCCGAAAGTCTTGGCCCTGCTTGTCCCCGTACACCTTTGCTAAGGTATCTACAATTTGGTGCATAGGTTGGTCAACTCCTGAGGGATGGACAAAATTTCCTGTAGAATGCTACAGATAAACAAAAATTTGAGAAAAAAACATTGATGCATCTCCATGTTTACAAAAGCTAAATAAAAGGTCCTTCTAGTTTCAATTTCAAATGGTAAAAAGAACTTCCCTTATTTAAATTTTCATATAACAAGATAGAAATAATTAGAGATATAAAACTCTGCACTTCATAGACAACAGATCAACTGGAACTTCACATGTTGTCTTTCTCCTTTAACTCTTTCACTATTATAAAACAATATGTCAGGTCAAAGTCACCAAGTCTTTTCTCACTCCATTTAAACTTCTCTCTGCTTTCTTTCAAAACCCTAACATTTATTATTCATCCATGAAAAATATTCAGTTTTATCATTCATGCATGCAAAAGATTCAGTTTTGATCAGGCTTAGGAATGAATTTCCAACCAATTTGGCAAATGTGAACAAAATCTTAAAATTGAATCAAACTTACAAAGACTGCTTTAAAATTTTGGATGCACTGCTCAGGATTCTCAACTTCACCACGTCTCCATCTCTCATAAAATAGGTAGAACATCACTACTTCATGGCTAGGATTAAGAACTTCCCATTTGAACAATGACTCTCTAATATCTCTTGGAGACACATTTGGACCTAGAGAGAAGTTACCAATGGCTTGCACAATGCCAGCTGCACATCTTTCAGTTGCATGAATTATTTGGGGATTGCCCCTCGCATTTTCTGCATACCACTGAAGCAATTCTTCTAGTGCATTACTGACCTGTAAATTCAGGAGGTGAATGATAATTTTTCACAGTACAATCACAATTAGCAAACAAGACAGATAACTATATAATGAAGTTAGTAATCTTATAATGCTACGAACCAAGACACCATACGCATCAGGTACACTGAACAGTTCAGCATCATTTCCTGAATCGCCACAAACAAGAGTGTTTAGTGGTCCTAGTCCACCAGCTTTCAGTTTTTCAAGTAGAAAAGCAAGGGCACGTCCTTTTCCAGCTGCTTGAGGTAATATATCCAAAGCAATACCATTGCTATAAATTATTTTCACATCCAACTGGAAAAGAAAGGAATGATATACAAGCCACAATAATATAAATATAATGAAATTGTAGCATGTCAACGAAATATTAGATGAAGACTACCTGTTCAGCTATCTATGTATAGATGAAGACTACAGATGAGGGGGAGGGGATCTTAAGTGTCAATAAAAAAAATCTGCAGGTAAAGCTTTCAAACAACGTAGGCAAATTTCTACCATTAAGTTTGTTCACAAACAATAATCTTACCCCACGTTTTTCCAAACATTTTGACAGGGCTTGCATGACACTTGGGGCCTTCCCTTTCTCCAAATAAAAGCTAACCTTGTGAGGCCGTTGTTCTGTTTCTGACTGCAGTTACCCCAGAAATTCCAAACATTTAAGGTCATTCTCCAAGCATGACTCCACATATAAGAATTCAGATATATGGTAGGTATCATCATTTTTAACACATTAACAAATTTTATGATAGCTACATACTTGAATAGTTAGTTCAGGAAACTTGGCTGTTTCCTCCATAACTATGTCTCTGTTCCACTTATGATCCAGATACTGTTTCCAATCATCATCTGGTACCATTGATTCACCATATGTAATCTCAGTTCCCACAGACATTATTGTTATATCAGGAGTCAACAAAGGTTTCTGTTTTCTTAACTCTCCATAAATTGTAGGCGATCTCCCAGTGGAGAAAACTAGCAGAGAATTATGACGATAATGAGCTTCCCATAGCGAATTGAATCCAAGAAGGGCAAGGTTTTCCGGATCATCATGGTCTACCTGCAGTGAGATACACAGGCTTCACGAGATTTGACCCAAGCATCATTCCAAAGACAGATCATTATCAAAATTGTGATATCTACCATTGTGAAATCAAGATCTGAAACTATCATAAGCTTGGCAGAACCATTAAGTCGATCCATAAGTTTTTCTTTTCTTCTCTACCTCTGGAAATCTCCAAAACTTAACCTTGCAAGTATCTTCACAAGTATGCACCTGCAAATTCTCCACTATCTTAGGTTCAAAATAATGTAGCTTAGGTTTCACGTCCTAAGCTCTATTCTTCAATAATCCAGAACATACCCAGTTCTAACGCAAGCATAAGAACTAAATCTCACAAAAATAACACGGAAACATGCCCAGGATTGTTATAAAACACAGGCTCCATAACCCTACATTTTAGTAATAATCTAGGTCAAGTACAAGTGTGCTATAACTAGAATACCCTAATGTTTTTGACTCACATATAAGATATAACTAATATGATTATTGTAATAAAGCTAAAATACAAATATTACAGCAGCCACATCAACAGGGATACGAAACATCTTTCAAAAGAAAAACATAAATTCAAGTTTCAACCGTTAAATGAGATACCCATAGAATCTCATCCTCAAACGTGCTATTTGCTTGACAATATACGCAATATGGAATTGAAAATACAGAAACACAACCAGGCAAAGTATAAGGGATCTTAAGTTAAAATTTAAATCTCAACAAAAGTCATTCAATGAAAAAGGAATATAATATAAATATATTAAAAGAAGAGTGAGAAACTACCTGCTTTTAACGATTCATTTAACTATGTTGCACACGCAGATTTATGTATACACAGAATTTGCATAGTTCCACAATTTAACTCAATCAAAGATTACTGGCAATATATTGCAATTGTACTGAATAAGACACTACTTGATCTTACTTATAGAAAAAGGAAATCGAATACCCCTTTGGCTTAAATAGCCGAATACCCTCTCCGTCAGGTTAAAAGGTAATTAACTCAATTAAGGGGTAATAATTAGACCATTACCTACTGTAATTAAAGGGCCAAAATCAGGGTTGACTCATAAAGCCTATTAGTTCATAATAATGCCTGTAAAAGGAAGGTAAGCGGTACAGGTAAATGGTGAACTTCTGAATATTAAATAGTATTTATTGTCTAAACTGAGACCTAACTTCATCATTAGAGTGTCTTTTGCAGGTACACCCTCACGTCAGATAGAATCAGCAGTAGAAGGAAGGATGTTATCTTATTTCAGAAGGGACTTGAAGATTAGTGTTCCCTCATCAGGAACATTTGGCACCCACTGTGGGGCAAGATTGCCTTGCTTTTTAATCATCATGCTACTAACAAAAAGCCAACAAGATGGACAGATTCAGCATGGAGGAACCTTTCGGCAGCAGGAGGATACCACATCTAACCAATCGATCCCTGAAGTACTAGTAGAGGGGGGAGGTAACGAGAGCCTTTTTGCAATTGTAAGGCAACTCTGGGCCGAAATGATGAAAATGAAAAGGGAGAGAGAAAAAGACGCCATCGAGCTGTCCATATTGAGAAGGGAAAATGCCAACTTGAGGGAAGAAATCAGAACACATATACCTTCTCAAACTACACCCCTCGCCCAAGAACAGGGAGAGTTCTCGACGTTGCAAGAAAAACCAAGGGTGGTCCAGCAACCTGGAACCCAAACTGATCGAGATGATATAAGAAGCCGAAGCCCGTTTGTCCAGTCTATCTTGGAAGCTAAGTTACCCGAGAACTGGAGAGGTCTAACAGTAGAAAAATATGTATTGTTATGTAGAATATTCCCCACTTCACTGCGAGGACCAGCACTCAGCTGGTTTACCAAGTTACCTCCCTCGTCCATTGATTCATTTGACACCTTAACTAGAAAATTCAACCTACAGTTTGCCGCAAGCCGCCCCCATCCTCTAACATCCTTAGCACTCATGAACATCCGCCAAGAGAAGAGAGAAACACTTAGAGCGTTCATGGAGCGCTTTGGCAAAGTAACACTCTCAATTCACAATTTGGAGTCGGAAGTGGCCATGCATCATCTTACGACAGCCTTGAAACCAGGATCCTTTGTGAATAGTATTTGTAAGAAACTGCCCATGGACCTCGATGAATTAAGGAGTCGGGCTGCTAAGTATATGCAAATGGAGGAATTGGCCAAGTACCGGAGCCAAGTGCAGATGGAACAGAGAACCAATTCAAAAGAAGTCGATAAAAGAGAATCTTTCAAATCTAGGCAAGAAAACAAAGATCGAAGAAATGATGTTGAGAGGCTGCCCAGAGGACCAAAATATCCTTCATATACAACCCTTAATACCAATCGGTCTAGGGTACTCGACCAAGCCCTAGCAACAAAAATATTGACTATACCTAGGCGTGCCAACACCCCCTTTGGGCAAACAAATCCAAATCTTGCCGATACCATCGAAATAGAGGACATACTACTAAGGAGTGCACCGCCCTAAAAGACAGAATTGAAAATTTGATTAAAGAAGGGCATCTGCAAGGGTTTGTACAAACAAATCCCCCGGTCATGTTGAAAGGGGAAGAGACCGGTACCCTGAGCCATCAAGAAGATACAATGACAAAAAGTCCGAGCGACAACGAAGCCGGTTAAGAGATCCCCCTGTCAAACGCTACGATGAACGTGAAAAGTATTCCAAAAGAGTTATCAACACCATAGTCGGTGGGTTTGCAGGTGGAGGATCCACTAAATCGGCCAGAAAGAGGCATTTGAGACAAGTCTGCTCTGTTAACAACATAACACTGGGCAGTAGAATCCGAATCTCCCTCATCACATTCACTGACGAGGACTTTCAAGGAGTAGATCCGGTGCAAGATGATCCTATGGTCATAAGTGTTGACACCCTCAATTGCACGGTACGAAAAACTCTAATTGATTAAGGGAGCTCGGCCGACATCCTATACTGGAACACCTTCAAACAACTTGGGATACCAAAAGAGGAACTGAGGGAGTACCATGAGCCACTTGTCGATTTTTTCGGAGAGCGAGTAGAGACCCGTGGATGTATCGACCTATATACCTTGTTCGGTTCAGAACACGAAGGAAAATGCATTAAAGTTAATTATCTAGTGGTACAAGCAAATACTTCGTACAATATACTGCTCGGCTAGCCATCCCTCAATAAGTTAAAAGCAATAGTATCCACTCCTCACTTGACTATGAAATTTCCATCAGAAAAAGGTATGACCGTTACTGTTCATATCGATTAGAAGACCGCCAGAGAATGTTATTTTGCAAGTTTGCACCTAAAACCATTCCAAGGATACAAACGAGATGTTAACATTGTATCTCCTCGATCAGGAGAAGACCTGGATATTGAGATGGATCCCAGGATTGATGAGGGATGTCGGGTTCAACCTAGCGAAATCAAGCAACCATTTCAACTAGGGAGGAAGGCTAAACAGGTCACTTAAGAACCAGTTTGTCTTGGGAAGGGCAACAAGACCTTCAGAACGAGCTATTGCAAAATAACGACTTGTTTGCCTGGTCGGCCTCCGACATGCTAGGCATTGACCCTGAATTCCTGTGTCATCGTCTATCGGTTCATAAGGGGGCCAAACATGTGGCTCAGAAAAAGAGGAAAATTGGAGGGGACAGAGCACATATAGTAAAGGAGGAGACTAATAAACTACTATAAGCTGGCTTCATCAGAGAAGTTTGATACTCCACTTGGTTGGCCAATGTGGTCATGGTAAAAAAGGCCAATGGAAAATGGCGAATGTGCACTGACTTCATAGATTTAAACAAGGCGTGCCCTAAGGACGCTTATCCCTTTCCAAATTTTGACACCTTAGTCGACGGTTGTCGGCCATAAAGTACTCAGTTTCTTGGATGCATACTCAGGATATAACCAAATTCGAATGTATCCCCCAGATGAGGAGAAAATGACATTTATCACAGTCTCAGCAAATTTCTGCTATAAGGTAATGCCATTTGGTCTTAAGAATGCAGGGGCGACGTACCATAGACTTATGAATAAAATATTTGACAAACAAATAAGGAAGTGCATGGAGGTCTATGTTGACGACATGGTGATCAAATCCACCTCCCTTGATAAACATATAGCCCATTTAAAGGAAGTGTTTGGTGAAGTAAAATGGCATGGAATGAGGTTCAATCTAGAGAAATGCACATTCGGAGTAGCTGGGAGAAAATTCCTAGGGTTTATGCTTTTTGAAAAGGGGATTCAAGCAAACCCAAATAAATGTCAAGCCATCATTCAAATGGCTAGTCCTCAGAACATCAAAGAGGTCCAAAGGTTAGTCGGCCGGATTGCTGCCCTTGCCAGGTTCCTCCCCACAATGATAGAACGATCTCAGCCTTTCATTGATCTGCTTAAAAAGTCACAAAAATTTACTTGGTCTGATGAATGTGAAGCTGCCTTCCTCTAATATAAAAATGTGTTAACAGCTCCTCCTGTTCTCACAAAGTCGAAATCAAGACAGGATATGATTATCTATTTGACTGTATCAGAAACTGCCATCAGCTCGGTACTGTTACATGAAACACTTGAACCAGCACCAGTGTACTTTATCAGCCGAACACTTCAAAGTGCAAAAATCAGATATCAATTGATGGAGAAGGTGATATTGGCACTAGTTCACACAGCTCGTCGGTTAAGACATTATTTTCAAAGTCATCAGGTCGTAGTGTGTACCGAATGCCCAATTGCCAAAGTCTTGAGAAAACTAGAGCTAGCAGGTCAGTTAATGACATGGGCGGTCGAACTATCCCAGTTTGATATCCGTTTTGAAAGTCAGGGACCTCTTAAAGCTTAAGTGCTCACAGACTTCATCAATGAATTCACTACCCAAAAACAAACCAGCACTATGTGAAATTTGCATGTGGATGGATCATCAAACTGACAGGGTTATGGAGCAGGGATTATATTAGAAGGACTGAACACCATAATGATTGAACAATCTATTCAGTTCGGGTTTAAAGCATCCAACAATCAATCAGAATATGAGGCGTTGTTAGCTGGCCTCAGACCAGCAAAACAAATTGGAGTTAAGCGCATCACTTGTTGGGGGCGATTCCAAGGTAGTGGTTGAACAGGTCAATGATACTTATTGAGGGTGAAGGACTCGGTTATGCTCCAATACTACAAGGAATTCAAAAATATTGAAGGTGAATTTGACAAGATACATGTTCGGTACACGCCGAGGACAATAAACGAATAGGCTAATAAGCTTACTAAGCTGGCTAGCCAGAGGAAATCAGGGCAATTATAAAGTGTGATTCATCAAGAGATACATAAACCCAATATCTCTAAGCAGGAATGCATAGAAATTGAAAATATGCCTGAAAATTAGATAACCCCAATTACCCAATATCTCACTAATAGTAACCTACCTAGTGATCCAATCTTGGCTAAGCAAACAAGAATGCAGGCAGCCAAGTACATCCGTCTCGGCAAGGAGTTGTACAAAAGAGGAATATCAACACTTATGTTGAAATGTCTTGACGAGGACTAGGCCAGTTACGTAATGAGAGAAATCCATGAGGAAATTTGTCGTACCCACTCGGGAAGACGAACAATGGCGGCCAAGATCCTCAGAGTCGAATATTTTTGGCAGACACTATCGAAAGATTGTAAAATTTTTGTTAATAAATGCATCGCATATTAGCAACATGATCCACATATACATCAACATGCCAACAACCTTCACCCTATTTCTTCGCGTTGGCCCTTCTCCATATGGGGGATGGACCTTCTCGGACCTTTTCCTTTGGCGAAAGAACAATGCAAGTTTTTGTTAGTTGCTGTGGACTATTTTACCAAGTGGATTGAAGCAGAGCCGCTGGCCACCATTACATCCAACAATG